CAATATTTACAAAATCAACTCCAGTATGATTCATTTGATAAATGTACATATGAATAGGCAAAACATCTTTATATTGACATAATTGTAACTTACAATTTAGCCATAATAAAGGGATTTCGCCCACTTTGACCAATCCTAATTGAAACACGCGGATATATTGTATTTTTTAAAATATAATTTCAAAATAAAATAAACAAAATCTGCAGTTAATATTTTATTAAATTTATTTAAAAGAGAACAGACATATATTTCACAAAATCCAATATCTACATATGAAAAATAAAATGTCAAAAATTATTAAATCATTATACTCAATATTTATGCATGTGATAAAATTCTTAGTTTCCTAATAACTTTTTTGGCATATTTTATATCTGTATTAGAATACCTTAGTGTGTAAAAAATCTTCATCTTATTACTACACAAAACAAACACCAAAAAATATCACTTAACATTGCTCACGTACTAAACACAACTTGTACTGACTTTGACAGATAACATCATTTTAAGTGATACACAACTTATTTTCGCACATGCGCGTTACAAAACGGTACACTGAAAACATCAAGCTGTCACTTCTCCTTGATCGGTATTCTCGGTTGGAGACCTCCATATATGTGTTTTTTAAACACCTATCTAGGCATTAGGTAGCAAACAAGTTAGCTGGTAACCTCTAAACTTCAGCTTGTTTTAATAATATTCAGACTGGTTTAACCTTAAGACGCATGGGGATGAAAAAACGTCTTCAATATACGTTTAATAACCTTAAGACACCTATCTAGATATTAGGTAGGAAACAGGTAAAGCAAAGCAAGTATATTTATTATTAGAAAGAGTAGTAAAAGCAAATAATTATAAATAATCTAGTTTAAAACAAAAAATCCATTAAAATTTAAGTATTTTCAATATCGACATTTTATCACTTTTTTATAATAAAATTCTCTGTCAAACTTTAATAGAGAGACAGTAAATTCCTTGAGTTTCCATTTAAAAATTAAAGAAAAATTGTTCCTGTTATTTTCTTTTTTAATCATGACGTTGATATCTGATTGAAATAAATATTTTTTTAAATTCCTAGAGATTATGATGTTAACATACTTAACTAAATGTTTTTCTTTTGAATTTATTGTAATTGAAATCAAGCCAACCAAACTGATCGTCAGAGACCTTGACTAATATCATCAAAATAACTACTGTATCACCTCCTTGTTTAATATATTCTAACTCTTACGTTTTTATCAAATTTAATAATAATAATAGGTAAGCCAAGAAAAATAGCCAAATTTACAAAAGAGCAAATGAAAGCTGCTCGTGAGTTTATGAGAAATAGCTACAGCATTAGAAATGCGGCAAAAATGAACTCACTATCTTATCCAACGTTAAGACGATATTATGCCATAACAAAAAATTTGGAGAATATTGAAAATGTTATATTTGTCCCTAACTATACTGTAAACCATATATTTAATAAAGAACAAGAACAAACACTCAGTAAATATTTAAAAGACTGTGCCTATCACTTTTATGGTTTGACGAACATGGATTGTCGGAAATTGGCTTACGAGACAGCATAAATCAGTAAGTTAAAATTTCCAAATTCTTGGGAACAAGAAAAAATTGCTGGAGTTGAATGGTTAAGATCTTTTTAATCAAGACATCCAGAATTGACTCTAAGAGCTCCGGAGCCTTGTAATTTAGCAAGAGCTTCAGGGTTCAATCGGATGAATGTTCAAAAATATTTTTAAAACCTTGAAAATGTTTTGAAATGACACTCAAGTTTTGCAGTTGGCACTCTGGTATAAAACTTGGATAAAACGGCGACGACGACTGTACAAAACCTCCAAAAAGTGATTGCACCCAAAGGTATAAGATGTATTTCCAAAGTAACTAGTGGCGAAAAGGGGACATTAACTACAACATGCGCTATAATTTGCGCCAATGGACAATCACTTCCAAAAGTAGTAATTTTTCCTAGGATGAATTTCAAACATTTCATGACTAAAGGAATGCCTCCTGGAGTTTTAGGCCTAGCAGCACCAAGTGGCTGGATGAACTCTGAATTGTTTCCCGAGGTCATCAAACATTTTATAAAGCATAGTTCTTCCTTTAAAGAAAATCCATCTCTTTTATTATTTGACAACCACGAGTCCCACATCAAATGGGGTTACCATTCTCACGTTACCACCACACTCTTCACACAAGACGCAACCTCTTGATGTAGCTTTATTTAAACCATTTAAGACATTTTACAATGCGAGTATGGAATCGTGGTTAGTTAGTCATCCAGGTCAACCCGTAACCATTTATGAGTTAGGTGCCTTCATTGGCGAAGCATATCAAAAGGCCCTAACACCTTAATCTATCACGAATGCCTTTAAAAAGACAGGAATTTTTCCCTTTGAAAAAACTATTTTTACAGAGATTGATTTTTTACCAAGTTCAATTACAGACAGACCTTTTGACAATAGCATCAATGAAGCTGGTCCTTCAAATATTTTGGTAGAAGAAAATAAAGCTATGCGTGAAAATACATCTGCTAATCTTTTACTGGGAAGTCCAGAAGAGCAGACTACAGAAACATTCGTATCATCTTCCAACTTTGGACCACCTCTGAAAGCTCAACCCAGAAAAATTATCAGAAACACCAGAAAAAAGGGAAGAAGTCTAAGAAATTGTAAAGACTAAAATGGAGAAACAAAGAAGAGTAGAAATAAATAAGACAAAGCCAAAGGAGGAATAAAGACGGTCAGAAAGGTACTTCAGCAAAGTTCTTCATCGGAATCTGACCTTTCAGTAATCCTGGAAAGTGACGACTTAAGTAATGACTTTTGGACGAAGGGATGTTAGTAAAAGAAAAATTAGGTCCGCATAGGGGATTTTGTATTGGTTGAATTTCAGGGAAGACGTAGTCTACTATGTGGCTAAATAGTCCAGGATCCGTAAGTAGGGTCGACCTTCACCCATCTGTTTAATGGATAAAACTTATTTTTTATTAAATAAAATATGTCTTTAAATATACCGCAAATGGGTTGCCTAAGAAAATACGGTCACGGCTATTTTCTACTTTCCTTTTTGTGTACAGATAAGTTAAGTATAAAAATCATGATAAAAGTTGTTTATGATGTCATTATCTATTATTTTGTTTCCATACATGATTTTCCTAAAATGAACCTAATTCGAGATATTTGAGGAAAAGTGCAAATTTCGAATTTTGAAGACAACTCAACAACGGATAAAGAGAAAAACACCAAATTTTAAATTTAAGCTTTAATCCATCCTGCGGTGAGCTGACTAAAGTTTGGGCATAGTTGAAGCATCTGGGAAATACTTTACAGGGTGTCGTTATTTTTACTTTAAGAAAAAAATAGTCTGGACCATATTTTCTTAGGCAACCCATTTGCGGTATATTTATAAATATATTTTATGTAATAAAACTTTCATCCCTTAAACAGATAAGAGAAGGTGGACCTTACTTCGGATCTTAGAGTAAAAATTTTATGAATTCAAACTATGGAATATGAAGTCAGTTATTTAAGAAGAAAGTCTATGCAGACTTTGTTTTCTTTTCCTGATGTTCCTGACTTGTCATTCGTTCTAAAAACTGATACAAAACTGATTTTACCGAAACCCATAGAACAGGGAAGTACCAGTAGACAAAAAAATTCATTTTATTCTTTTGATGTTAATTTTTCGGGTTTAAATTTGCGTTAAGCATTCTATTTGTTTGTATTTTAAAATGATTTATCTTTAAGTATAATGTTTTTAAGTGTTCTATGATTTCAAAAAATAAATTTTATTTTCTACCATATTTAGTTTTGTAATTATTTGCCTAATTTTTTGACTTAAAAATATCAAAAATAAAATAATAATTTATTTTAATTTGGTTCACTGTTCACTTAATGGTGGTTCACTGTGTCCACTACGTGGTTCACAGTGAACCACTCGTTACTTTTTTAAAAAACTGAAAGGTTGGTACTTTTTTTTTAAATAACTTCTAATTATTCATAGAAATTGAAAGCAAATACTTCAGCGAATAAGTTAATGTATAATTTTCAGAAATATCTAGTGAAACCCTGCAGCTAGCCTTGCCTAAACAAAAAGTGGGTCACTGTCGGACAGTTTACCCTACAGCTTCGTTAATAATAATCGTTTTGAACAAAAAAAAATTTTTATTTTGCAAAAAAAGGTAGAGCAAAAATAAATTACAATAACATATAATGTGTCATTCAATTCCCTTTAATTTATGCCCTACACATTTTTTCAATTAGTGTCTTAGTTTTTGAAGGGTTCCGCATAAATTTTGGCTAGACGTTTCTTGTAAACAACTTTTTTTAAAACGTTTTCGATAAAATGCATACAATTTGTTATCTAAGCAAACACCTAACGAAAAAAAAAAATAAATAAATAAATATTTCGCTCGAATTTACCGGAGAAATAAAACCAAAACCAAACCATTTTTTCCAATAGCTAATAGACTTTGTATAACTTTTTTTATAAGTAACCATGGACCTTAAAAAATCCCGATATTGTACATTTAGAAGTGTTAGAAACTAATGTTCCTCTTCTATATGTAAGATAGTTGCTCTGTGAATCTGGAATTTATCATCGAACTGGTAAAAGCCTACTTCTCAAAAATAAAACACCTCTCGGCGACGTTACTGCAGGACTTTGACTTAAGATACACCCTAGATACACCCCAGTGAAAACCAACAGGTTTATGATGATTAAATAACCTGCAGAACATTGAAAAGCTGAGACGATGGTTGTCTGTAGACAAGCCTTAGCGTCAATCTGCAGGTTTTTAAAAAGTGGATGATCTGATGAGCTGGGAATATGGCTGTCTATAGACATCTCTCAGAGACAAACAGCAATTATAGACAAGTTAAGAGGCAGGTTCTATATACCCCTGAAGAACGCACAATGAGCCTTATGAGTCCTAACTGCTTTCCTCCATACCTTACAGATACAGACATATTTAGAATAATTTTGTAATTTTACAGGTAAATACGACTTTGGAGAAGGCGGTACAGATATGCAAGACTTTCTAAACATAGAAACATTTTTGAAGACAGCCCAAGAAGAGGATTTATTTGTGATCATGAGATCAGGTCCATTTATTTGTGCAGAATTCGAATTCGGTGGTTTACCCAGTTGGTTGTTACGACAAACAGGAATTAAATTCAGGACCCACGACAAAAAGTTTATGGAACCTGTTACTAGTTACTTTATGGTTTTACTTAGTTTATTGTCGTCTTTTCAATTTACCAAAGGAGGACCTATCATTTCATTCCAGGTGAGTCTCTAAGCTTCTCATTGCTTTAGAAATGTTCAAAAGTTTTTTTGGAACGAATTTAAGGATAATCGCACTATTTTAAAGGTTAATTATTCAAAGTAAACTTAATGTGCACCAGTCAACAGTGAACTTGTATGGACTTGGTGGCTCTTAGATCTGCTTGGTAATTGCCTTTTGAAATAAAAAAATAGACACCAGGTACACTCAAATTGTCAAGAAATACACCCCTCACCGATGTTATCAACTGTTTTGAAAGAGTGAACTAGTTAAAAAACATAAAGGAATTACCAAGAAAAATTTCATCAAACATTTTTTTACCAACAACTTTCTTATTTTTACAGATAGAAAACGAGTACGGCTCTACAAAGCAACTTGATGCAAACCCCCCATTTTTACCAGATAAAATTTATTTAGAACAACTCCGACAGTTGATGTTAGATAACAATATTACAGAACTTCTTTTTACATCAGACTCACCAACAAGCTCTGGTAGTTTAGGGTCATTGTCTTTATTATTCCAAACAGCAAATTTTGGACTGGGAGATCCAACACCAGATTTTGACAAATTAAAAGAGTTACAAGGAAATAAACCTACAATGTCTACTGAGTTTTGGTCGGGGTGGTTTAATCATTGGTCTGAAGATAAATACAATGGAAATATAATCGATTTTACTAGTACTCTGGAGAAAATATTGAAATATCCGGCATCTGTTAATTTTTATATGTTTCATGGTGGAACATCATGGGGTTTTCTCAATGGTGCTAATATGGATAATGTAGCAGAAGAAACTTATCATCCAGATATTACTAGCTATGATTACGATGCGCCAATATCGGAGGCTGGTGATTACCAACCTAAATATTTTGTAGTGAAGGAACTTATAGAAAAATATAATAATATAAAAACAAAGCTCCCACATCCACCAAAGTTAATCAAACGAAAAGCATATGCTTCTATAGATATAAAAAGACATTTGCCTTATGAATACATTGTATCAAATGTGCCAGTAGTTAAAAGTAACAAAGTAGTGCCAATGGAGCTTTTACCTATAAACAATAACATTGGACAAAAATACGGCTATATCATATATAGAAAAACGAATATAACTTTACTAAAAGGTAGCAAATTAGTCATCAAAGACTACGTTTATGATACAATCAATGTCTATATCAATAATCAACTAATGACTAACAATTTTAATGACATAAGTAGTTTTGGATATTGGAAAACTAAAGATGGTTCAATCATATTCAACACTACTTACAAAAATGCAACTATAGATTTAGTAGTTTGTAACATGGGTAGGAATAATTTTGGATCTTTGGATCAATTTTATCAATTTAAAGGTCTTAAAAGTGCAATACTTTTGGATGAAAAAGAAATTATTAACTGGGAAATTTTACCGTTAGAATTCAAGCAGTCATGGATTAAAGAATTATCTAGTTGGCAAGATTATGATAAAAATAATAAAAGCGGTGCAGGATTATATCAAGCTGAATTAGTTCTTAATGATATTACCGATACTTATATAGATATGAGCAGGTGGAAAAAAGGGATAGTTATTATTAATAATTTTGTTTTGGGAAGATATTGGACCATAGGTCCTCAACAATCTTTGTATCTTCCTGCAACTTTTTTGAAAACTGGAGTGAACAGTATTATTGTTTTTGAAGAATTTTTATCTGATAATGCAATACGATTTTTAGAAAATCCAATCTATTTTAATAATAAATAAGGCTAAAAAATTTTGATGAAGTTGATGTAGATAATTCGTGATTTTTTTGTATAATTTAAAAAATAAGACGATGCTTTGAGCATAATTATATTGTCATATGTATACAGTATGTCGCTAATGTATGGAATAAATTCATTATTTCTAAAATAATCGACTTTTGAAAAAAATCCAAAAACAGGTCAATTTTAATTTTTGAATCGTCATCACATGATGTAGATGTAACAAAACAGTTTTGGTCGACCCTGTAGAAATAAATATTCAAATAATTACATCGTTGTAAAGACGATTAGAAGACCTTTCCAATGAGGTGTTTTGAGACACATGGTTGCATTTAAAAAAAATTGCCGATTACGTCACCACGGTAATACTGGTGACGTAATGTTCGTTACATCTACATCATGTGATGATGATTCAAAAATTAAAATTGTTCTGTTTTTGGATTTTTTTCAAAAGTCGATTATTTTAGAAATAATGAATTTATTCCATACATTAGCGACATACTGTATATTGCTACGTTTGAAAAGTACCTCACGGAGCGGAGTAGAGCTAGTAGATTTTTTAGTCACGTGATCATCGAGCAAATCGAGCTTATGTGGAATAAAAGAACGGCTGTAATAATTGGCATTATTATTAATTGAAAAAATCTAAAGAATTTACCAAAAATTCTAAACAAGTAATTAATGTTTAAATTAAATAATTAAAAAGATACAATGAAACAAACCTTCAATTTATTAATCTACATTGAACGTGACATTGTTAAATACAATCAACAGTCACATAAATTTTGGTTTATATAGAAAGGATTACTTGGGTAGACGCTCAGTCGGGTTCGGACTAAGGTCCAGAACTTTCGCCCCTTGGGCGAAACCTTAGTTTTGTATTGTAAAGTAATGTGTAAAGTTTTTTGTGTACGATGTGAATTATGGGTAAATATTTTAACTTAATTTTGTTTAATAATAATTGATTTACATATAAATGCCAATTTTACATTTTCTTCCCAAATTATATCATATGCATATCTTTATTACTATTAGTTATAGTGCTTTATTCCCTAAATGGAATTTTATTCATTTTTCTGAAGACTATTTGTCGAGTTTTATATTTATTGTTAATATATATTTGTTAATGTTTTAATACTTATTATTAATCTCTCCTCCCTTCCCAAACCAGCAAAATACTCCGAGCATTTGAGAAGCCTCGGCGTTTCTATTCCCTTGGGACTAAAAGAGTCTAAAACTAGTTGCCAAGAACCGCTCGACATATGCTATTAAGGGATGTTTTTTTTTGTATTTTATTATTTTTTCTTTATTATTTTTTTTTGCCACTGGCGAATGGATGTTCCTTCAGGACTACAGGACCCTTTGGCTGGTGACGTCGCTGCCCTAATCCCTTAATAGTATATTAATAACAGTAGCTAAAGACCTATCAGTAGTTACAAATAGTCTTTAGGCTAACTGGTTGTTACACGGCTATGGATTTGTTTGTGTTTCCCGTATCCGGTTTTCATTAAAATAACAAACGTAAACCTTTCTTTTAAATCAAATTTGATCTCTCGTCTCGTGGTTTTTGTTGCAAGTTGCCAAGTAAAGTAAAATTTTATCTGTGGTATTTTTCGCTTTTTTGCTTTCACTAGAAAATAAACCATGTTCTCATTTCTGTCTGACATGTTTTATAAATATTTTTTTTAATAACCAAACACATGAAAAAGAATAAACTGCAATACAAGAGACAACGAACGATGTCTATACATCTCAGAAAAGTACATCTACTTTGTCAATTGTCACAGAAATTCCATTTACTCCGAAAGCTCTAAAATTTAACTCGGAGTAAATAGATCTTACTCGATTTACCAGCTCTGCATTAAAAGACCACGTAGCAGATCCCATCGAGAAGCCGCAGATGTATTAAAAGAACACCTTCGAGTAAAAAGAGCAAAATGAGGTAATTTTCAAACGCAGCATTTGTTGTTATAATTTGATATGTTACAAATGGTTCAATAAAGTTTTTCTAAAAAGTTTTTTATCGTGAATTAATTTTGTTATTTAACAGAAACTGTCCCAATGGGCCATATTCACAGGTGAGATATGCTGTTTTATAAATTATATTGTAATAGTTAGTCACTATACAAGTTATTCTAAGTAATCAGTCTGTTAAAAAAGTCAAAAGTTTTTAAAGTAAAAGCATTTATAATTTAAAATTTGACATGTGTACGTCATCGGCAATAGACCAATCAGCTTGTGTCGAAGTTTTGTTTGTTATACAGAACCAAGCCAACGAAAAAAACAGACACATAGAATGTCGAAGTGAATGCACATCTTAGTAACACTTAAAAATTGACACCACCTAGACCACCTAACCTATCTTTCATTATTGTTTTGTTCACTTTTTTTTCTAGACTTATTTCTTTTGCCTTTGCTAATTGGTTAAATTTTATTATTAATATGAGTTTGTCAGCTGGATTTATAAAAGCTGATTGAAGTGTTTTACCCATTGTAGACCAAAATATGATCACTGCATTTTTTTAACAATTCTCAGTTCATAAGTGCCAAAGTTAAACATGTAAGTTAAGACAGAAAGGTATGTAACACTTTATTTATAATTTGTTTTAATAGTAGGTACAGTTTATATAGGGCAATACACCTTATAGTAAAACTTATTTATCTCAGGTCATTAGGGTTGTCGAACAGTAACAGTTTTTGGGACGATATATCTGTACCTTGAAGCAACAAGGGCCAATCTCTAATTCAAGCAAGAGAGCGACGTCAAAAGCTATACTGTTGGTATTATTTCTATAATTAGAAGTAAAAGTATAATTATGTAGTGCCTGAGAAATAGAAAATTTGTAATTGTATAAAACCAGTATATACAATTTGCCTAGCTCAAAAATTAAAACTAAATTACATCTAAAACTATTTAGAAGGGTAGGCACGAGTATTTACTGTAATACTATTTTTATTTGGTTGAAGATTACCTACTTGCTACATGTCATTGTAAATAATTGTAATTTAAGTACATTTTTGTGTACGAATGACTACTTTTTGTAAATATACAAACTCTTTCTGTTACAACTATTATACAAATGTCTAGTAATTACGTAAATAATAGGGTGGAGCGATAATCGCAAAATTTTAAAAATTTTGAAAAATTGATTTGGAATACCTACCAAAAGTTACATTTCATAATGTTGACAAAAATGTATTAATACAACCTTTTGATTAAATCACATCTTCTGCCCTCTAGCAGCCATTGAAAAATTACAAAAAAAAATTGCTGGAATTATTACTAAAATTTAAGCGATGTGATTTTAAGATATATTATGTATAATAAAATAAATTTATAAAATTTTTCGCCCTATACACAGTGGCATAGCCAGGTGGGGGCCAGGGAGGCCCTGCTCTCCCCGCCCTCTTTGCTCGACGTCCCTTGCCGCTTTATACACAATTTATTTATTTTTAATAATAATGCACCCCCCGCCGCAAAGCTCGTAATAGACAGAAGTAAGCTAAGAAGAGCAAGAGAGCAATCAAGAAAGTTTTACGAAAAACTCCTCAGAAACTTTGAAAGTCATATACTTTGACGGAAGGAAAGATAAAACCTTCGTAATCGAAAATATTGAAGGCAAGCGACAGAAAAACCATACCATAAAACGGGGTTAATTGGGAACCGCGGGGCTATTTGGGACCTAACGAATAAAAATAAATTTAGCAATTTTGCCGCAACAGGTGCACGTCTAACCAAAATGTGCGTGCCGCACCACGTGGTATCATGTTTAAGGCGAACGTGATGACTCGCTTTATTCCGTTGAATTAACTGTTGGAGGCGTAAGGTGACTTGCAAGAAATTGTGAAAATCGACGTAAAAAACGATACTGTCCAACTTTCTGCTCTCGGAATTTAACTGCTGGCGATAAGGTAACTTTGATAGTTGTAACTAATTGTTAGACGACCGTAGATGATCCAACCTAAATACTGTAAAGATATATTACATGTTAGGTTTTTAACAGGCTATTTTCTTTGGTGGGGTAATTTGGGACATAACAATGGGGTTATTTGGGACATTGGCAGGTTAATAGTGACAGCAAAAATATAAAATATATTTTGAAAGAGTAAAACCAAATTTGGTAGATTTTCACACTTTTATTTTAAAAATAAAAATTTTTAAAAAAACACTAACCCTTATTAACCATATAACATTTAAAATAGTATTAAAAAAATATGTTTGTTTTTTTATTATCTTTCGAATGGCCTAAATGAATTTTCAAAAAAAATACATTTTGGTTCAGCAATAAAAACTCTGAAATTTCAAAGATCTCTAAATCACTTATAACGCATATAGCATTTAAAATGGTATTTGAAAAAATTGTTTGTTCTTTTATTATATTTTGAATAGCCCAAATGAATTTAAAACAAAAATACATTATGGTTCAGCAATAATAACTCTGAAATTTCAAAGATTTCTAAATCCCTTATAACCGATATAGCATTTAAAATGGTATTTAAAAAAGTTATTTGTTTTTCTATTATCTTTTGAATGGCCTTAATGAATTTTCGAAAAAAATACATTTTGGTTCAGCAATAAAAACTCTAAAATTTCAAAGCTCTCTAAATCTCTTATTACCAATATAGCATTTAAAATAGTATAAAAAAAATTGTTTGTTTTTATCATCTTTCAAATGGCCTAAATAAATTTTTGAAAAAAAAAAAACAAATTTTGGTTCAGCAATAAAAACTCTGAAATTTCAAAGCTCTCTAAATCCCTTATTAACCATATAACATTTAAAATAGTATTAAAAAAAATTGTTTTTTTTAATATCTTTCGAATGGACTAAATGAATTTTCAAAAAAATACATTTTGGTTCAGCAATAAAAACTCTGAAATTTCAAAGATCTCTAAATCCCGTATTACCCATATAGCTTTTAAAATGGTATTTGAAAAAATTGCTTGTTGTTTTATTACCTTTCGAATGGCCTAAATAAATAAAAAAAATACGTTATGGATCAGCAATAAAAACTCTGAAATTTCAAAGATCTCTAAATCCCTTATAACCCATATAGCATTTAAAATGGTATTTGAAAAAAGTGTTTGTTTTTTTATTCTTTCAAATGGCCTGAATAAATTTTTGAAAAAGTACAAATTTTGGTTCAGTAATAAAAACTCTAAAATTTCAAAGCTCTCTAAATCCCTTATTGCCCATATAGCTTTTAAAATGGTATTTGAAAAAATTGTTTGTTTTTTTATTATCTTTCGAATGGCCTAAATAAATAAAAAAAATACATTATGGTTCAGCAATAAAAACTCTAAAATTTCAAAGCTCTCTAAATCTCTTATTACCCGTATAGCATTTAAAATAGTATAAAAAAAATTGTTTGTTTTTTTTTATTATCTTTCAAATGGCCTGAATAAATTTTTGAAAAAAAAACAAATTTTGGTTCAGCAATAAAAACTCTGAAATTTCAAAGCTCTCTAAATCCCTTATTAACCATGTAACATTTAAAATAGTATAAAAAAAATTGTTTGTTTTTGAATATCTTTCGAATGGCCTAAATGAATTTTCAAAAAAATACATTTTGGTTCGGCAATAAAAACTCTGAAATTTCAAAGATCTCTAAATCCCTTATTACCCATATAGCTTTTAAAATGGTATTTGAAAAAATTGTTTGTTGTTTTATTACCTTTCGAATGGCCTAAATAAATAAAAAAAAATACGTTATGGATCAGCAATAAAAACTCTGAAATTTCAAAGATCTCTAAATCCCTTATAACCCATATAGCATTTAAAATGGTATTTGAAAAAAGTGTTTGTTTTTTTATTCTTTCAAATGGCCTGAATAAATTTTTGAAAAAGTACAACTTTTGGTTCAGTAATAAAAACTCTAAAATTTCAAAGCTCTCTAAATCCCTTATTGCCCATATAGCTTTTAAAATGGTATTTGAAAAAATTGTTTTTTTTTTTTATTATCTTTCGAATGGCCCAAATAAATAAAAAAAAATACGTTATGGTTCAGCAATAAAAACTCTGAAATTTCAAAGATCTCTAAATCCCTTATTACTCATATAGCATTTAAAATGGTATTTAAAAAAGTTTTTGGTTTTTTTTATTATCTTTCGAATGGCCTAAATGAATTTTCAAAAAAATACATTTTGGTTCGGCAATAAAAACTCTGAAATTTCAAAGATCTCTAAATCCCTTATAATCCATATAGCATTTAAAACGGTATTTAAAAAAAGTGTTTGTTTTTTTATTATCTTTCAAATGGCCTGAATAAATTTTTGAAAAAGTACAAATTTTGGTTCAGCAATAAAAACTCTGAAATTTCAAAGCTCTCTAAATCCCTTATTACCCATATAGCATCTAAAATGGTATTTGAAAAAATTGTTTGTTGTTTTATTATCTTTCGAATGGCCTAAATAAATAAAAAAAAATACGTTATGGTTCAGCAATAAAAACTCTGAAATTTCAAAGATCTCTAAATCCCTTATTACCCATATAGCATTTAAAATAGTATTTAAAAAAGTTGTTTGTTTTTTTTATTATCTTTCGAATGGCGTAAATGAATTTTCGAAAAAAAAAAATACATTTTGGTTCTGCAATAAAAACTCTGAAATTTCAAAGCTCTCTAAATCCCTTATTACCCATATAGCGTTTAAAATGGTATTGGAAAAAGTGGTGTTTTTTTTTATTATCTATCCAATGGCCTAAATACATTTTTGAAAAACACAAATTTCGTTCTAGTAATATAAGCTTTAGCCCTCTATAAATCCCTTATTATAATTTTAAGAAAGGAAAATAATAATTAAAATGCAACAAATTATGATTTAATATATTCTTTATGTCGAAACTTAAAATAATTAGATTTTAAAAATTTAGTAAAACCGCTGGCGCTTTGGCCTCCACCTGAATTTATTGCTGGCTGGCTAACATGACGCAGGTTTCAGTTGTGTTTAGAACAAGATGGGCGTCAATTTACACAATTTTATAATTCATTTTTTTGTTTTGTTTTTAATTTGTTTCTTATCCTTTTTCATTTGTGTGTAGTTCAAATAATTCAAATTTTCTTGCCATTAAGTGTTTCTTTTTTATTAAAAAAATTATGGTTTCGGTTTACATTGAAACTATTTATCATTGAAAAGTGATAAAAATGTTTATTTCGTTTATATTTTGAGTGATATTTGCTCTATGGTTACTATGATTAAAAAATAATATGATAAAATCCGTATGTTAAAAATAAAAAAACAGCTATTTACTAAAGATCCATTGAATTTAGTTATAGGGAAATCTTATATGGAATGAAAGATAATTTAAATGTCTATCAGTTTATGATAATAAATACAGGGTGTGCCATTTAAAATAAGAATATTATTTAACTCCATGTGTAAGTTGAATTCAATTAGACTAAATGAGCACCCTGTATAATGTAATGGAAAAATTTCCATTTTGTTTGATAGTCTAATATCTTGGCTACGCAAATCGCAGATGACTGTTGATGTGTTTTAAATAACCGCGACATACGGTTATGTTGTTTAAGCTTACAAATTAAGAATCCTTTAAATGTTTTAAAAACGAAAAGAGATAGGTATAGGAAACATTACAGAAACTTTACTTTATTTTTTCCGGAATACAGAAGACACCATCAAATATTCCCTTTAAAAAAACAACTTTAATATAAATTTCTATTTTTGGGTCACCCTGTATAATCCAAATTATTTTTAATTTGTATTGTTAATGGCCTTGTATATCCCTATTGAAAAAAATCAATTTTAAGTCGTTTTCCCTACAGAGACCGACGGGTATAGGATGCGCCACCCTGTATAAATAAAAATGTCTCCGACAATGAATGTCTTATGATTGTCCATAATTAATTTAGGCATTTTTACATTTTACCTAGTACCTAAGTATAATATTTAATCAAATTAAACTCGTGTAGTAAAAGCTAAAAAGTGGTCGATAAAAAATAATAATAATAACTGTAAAAACCCGAAATTCGAATACACTGAAAAAAAAATTTAGTTAGTAAAGGAGTAAAGTAGAATTTACCTTGAATCTAAGATCTCCAATAGGTGCTTTGGCATAGCGAACACCTAAAAAACTGTAGAAATCTTCACCGTCTAAATTTTTTCTGACACAACCACGCAACTTGCCTTCGACTGTATCTACTATTGGTTCAACCATATTAAATTAACACGAGGAGAGTAAAAAAATACACCGAAATAAACGAATTTTTGATATAAAACAATGTAGGTATAATATTTTACTCTGTATAAACGATATTGATAATTTATTAACTATATCTGTGAACTTGAAACAAATAACTGTAATCTCATAGTAAACACGATGTTCTAGTAAACGAGATCGTTTTAACAAGTTAACGATACGATAATACTGTATAGATTGGCAGAAAATTGCGGCGAATTGCAATGTTGTCAAGTGTTCCAGATTATCTTTTAGAAGGGTATTTTATTCAATAATACACAGACACACAAGAAACATTTTTTTTCGGGTCTGTGTATTAGACTATGTTTTCCCTATGTTTTTGGGGTCGCTAAATTCAAATCCGGGGTCCATTTTACCCTATCATATCTGTGTTTTGCCATAACCTCAAAAAACCCAATAATTGCCTCATAAAAAAATGTTTTTTCGGGTCTGAGGATCAAACCATGTTTTCTATATGTTTTTGGGGTCTCTGAATTCGAATCCGTTGTCCGTTTAATCCAATCACGTCAGTATTTTGCTATAACCTCAAAAAAGACAATAATTTTAAGAACTTTTTAATACTAATAAAATAGATGCGTTAAAAGGTGCTGAATAGCTTTAATTATTGGGTTCTTTTGAGGTTATGGCTAAAGCTTGACGTAATTGGGTAAAATGGACCCCGGATTAGAATTTTGTGACCCCAAAAACATATAGAAGACATGGTATGATCCCCAAACCCTAAAAAATTTTTTTTGTGTGTCTGAATTACATATTACTAGGAAACTGTCAAGGAATTCATATTTTCTGGACATTGTCACTGTGCTCCAGATTGGTGTTGAATGTATTGCTATCTCGGTTAAATAGGCAATGTTTTTCAGGATTCTATTACCATTTCTGAACTTCTATTACATTTTATCAATTTTGTTTTTGGTTTTTGATATAATACAGAGTTTTTGACAAACCTCTGTGTTTCGGTTATTTGATAAATACGGTATTTTTGTTTGGACATTCTAAACCCTTTTTTTTAAGTCTTTATAATAAAAAATAAAGATAAAGAATATCTTTTCCAGTTTACGAGCTAGTGATTATATCTTTGTTTTTTGTTTCTCAATCGTTCCTTGTCTAATGCATTAGTTTAAATGGAAAATTAAAGTACAAATACGGCTTTTAAACATAAGAAATGAATTGACATTCAACTAACTATACTTATCAGGACTAATTAAAAAAATTTAAAAAATAAACTTGTTATAACATAACTTTACGAACCACCACCCATCAAGGAGGAATAATTTGTTGATAACCTTTGAACAAATCGAGGGCTTAGTGTCAAACAACACTAACTACAAAAATTGCATTTTTTAGCTTAACGCTTTTTTGCACTTAAAAAATCCTTATTTGTTATGTGACAAACAATCTTATCTCTCCTGTAATTAGTATCTAGGATAGACTAAACTTTAACTACAATTTATGGTTACCCACTTAATAACAAACAACGTTAAAAGAGTTAGTGTTTTATTATTTCTGTTTGATTAAGACTCAAATTACGTTATGAGCTGTTAACGTTCTTTGACTCTTAGGAGTTACACGTTAGTATGTTAATAACGTCATTCTACTTTAAAATTTTGTGTAGGAGTTAAAGAAATAGTTAGCCCTTTAGTCGATTTTTGTCTTTGGAAGGGTATGTAGTTAGTAGAGGTTATGTAAGTGCTTTTTAATGTTAAAACTTTGATTCTGTAAAGGTATTAAAAATGAAGAGAAATCAAAAAATCTGATGTGTCCAACACATGACTTTCCTATCTAGTTATTATAGGCTTTTTCCGGTTATTTTGTACAGCCCATTGCAGCATCTCTATAAATGTTTAGAGGATAAACTAAATATATACATTGTCCACATACAGTATGGTTCAAATGAAAGGAATAAATTCATTATAATGGAAGTAGTTGGTTTTTAGAAAAAATGCTCGGACAGGTCAATTTTGTTTAATTAAAGCGCAATTTTTTAAATAGAATTCAATTTTCCCCCACTTCCCATTTTTGGGCAGTGACGTCATTGACAATTTTTTTAAATAGTAACCCCAATTTTTTTTTCTTGATTTTAATAGATCTTGCAATTTCCTACTCGGAAACATAATATTTAAAATATCTTATATAACAATTTTTTTTGAATAAAAGTCATTTAAAGATCAGACACATAAATTTTATTTTATTTTGAGAACACAATAAATGAATAAAACCTAATTATTTGTAATTAAGTGCTTAATCTAAAAAATAATACTAATAATAATAATTAATAATAATAATAAAGAATTTAATGACAATTTCACAAATTCTTTTTTATTATTATTATTTTGTTAGATTAAGCACTTAATTACAAATAATTTTCTTTTATTCATTTATTGTGTTCTCAAAATAAAATAAAATTTATGTGTCTGATCTTTAAATGACTTTTATTAAAAAAAAATTGTTATGTAAGATATTTCAAATATTATGTTTCCGAGTAGGAAATTGCAAGATCTATCAAAATCAAGAAAACAAATTGGGGTTACTATTTAAAAAAAGTGTCAATGACGTCACTGCCCAAAAATGGGAGGTGGGGGAAAATTGAATTCTATTTAAAAAAGTGCGCTTTAAGTAAACAAAATTGACCTGTCCGAGCATTTTTTCGAAAAACCAACTACTTCCATTATAATGAATTTATTCCTTTCATTTGAACCATACTGTACATCTACCTCGAAACATTTTTCTATAGATATTCATTAAAAACGAAAATACTAAAAAATTTAAATTTAGCACTTTTCCTCCAATTTTTCCATTACAGTCCATTTTAGAAAAATCATATATAAACAAAAATTATAGAGATCGATATCGCAAACAACTTTTAGTTCAACAAATTTCATAAAAATCAGAATTTTGCACATTTTGTCAAATTTCTCGAATATGGACGATTTCAGGAAATTTTAACATAAAGCAAAAATTATAGATACGTATTAGAAGTAACTTTTATTTGAACAATTTTCTTCTCCAAACATAAATAACAGACATTCCATAAAATATAACAACGGCATCCCATAAAGTACTCCCCCCCCAGATGTTCCGACTTTGTCCAAAATCTAATCATTTCACGTCAAACCGAAATAAAACTTAAGTTTAAAATTAAATGTTTTTTTCTTTATCCGTTTTTGAGTTTTCTTCAAAATTCGATATTTACACATTTTCTCAAATATCTCGAATACGGACCATTTTAGGAAAATTTCGTATGGAACAAGAATTATAGACAATAATATTAGAAGTAACTTTTATTTGAAGAATTTTCTTCTTTAAACGTAAGTAACAGATATATTCCATAAAATATAAAAATGACCACCTATAAAGTACCCCCCCAGATGTTCCGACTTTGTCCAAAATCTAACCACTTCACGTCAAGCCGAAATAAAACTTAAGTTTAAAATTAAATGTTTTTTTCTTTATCCGTTTTTGAGTTTTCTTCGAAATTCGATATTTACACATTTTCTGCCCAAAAACTAATCAGTTCATTGGACGTTGGAACAAAGCTTAAGTTTAAAATTTGGTGTTTTTCTGTGTATCGGTTCATGAGTTATGCGACACACAGACACACACACACACAGGCATCATCGGAAAAATAGTCAAAACGGTTTCAGGGGACCTCAAAACGTAAAAATCCGTCGAAAATTCTAGGTCAAAAATATCATGATTCCTATACTTTCCTTATATCTGTATACAGATAGGAAAGTAATAATGGTCCCATTCCTATTGACAAGAATAAGTTGGCAGGCTTACACGAGATGTGTCGAAAAGGTATCATAAAAGAACCCTACCATTTTTTTACTACAGTCTTCAAGAAAGACATCAGAATGAAGATGAAAACGAAGATTTGTAGATAAGTTTTAATATTTTGTAATGCAATATTAAATTAATAAAAATTCTTCTCAAATATAATTTTAAACAATAATTTTCTTAAAAACACTGAAAATAAACGTTATATCAAATAAATTACTAAATATCATCTTGGACATTAACGTTTTCGCACCTAAATTGATAAATATCAAACAACGTTATCTTCACATTTATTAATCATTATTTTTTAATTGGAAGTATTTATTACAAAAAGCTTACCAAAATCTATCTATACCTTCTAAAAGTGTTAAAGTTTAATTAGATTTTTTTTTGTTAACAAATTCCTAGTAACTTATTTTCAAAAGCAAGTGAAACATCAGCTGATACAGTTTTTTGCTATTTATGAAATATGACAATTTTGTAGTTAGTGTTGTTTGACACTAAGCCCTCGAAATTTGAAAGAAACAAAAATAACCTAAAAAATCATAAACATATCTTTGTAGGAGACATTAATATAAATATAAAACAAAATTCTGATTTAGTCTCCTCTTATTAGACACGCTAGAAGAATTTAATTTTGTATCTCTGATAAATAAATATACACGAGTAAAGATCACATTTTTTATAGTTACAATTAGACAATTATACGCCGGCAATTTTTGATACACATATAACAGACCATAATGCTACTATTGCATATTTTCCTCTAAAAGTTGATGTGCGTCAAAAAATCATAATTTTTTAAAAATATTAAATGCGATAAATTAAAATTAGAATTCGGTAATCAAAATTGGGAAACTAATTACTCTATAGAAAATGTAAATGAAAAAGTTAAGTACCTAACAGAAACTCTTAATTCACTTTTAGAAAACAACACAAAATTATTAAAACAAAAAGACCACCCTAAAAAAGAAAAACAATGGATAACAGAAGGAATTATAAAGTTAATATAAGAAAATAAGCGTTTATACAGTATTCACAAAAAGTATTTTGAGAATGTTAAAAAAAAGCGATATTTAAATTATAGAACACTTACAGATAAATTAATTAAACAAGTTAAAAAAGATTTTTACACCAAACAAATATTTCGAAAAGGTTATGGGACACTTTAAAACAAATACAAAGAGATAGTAGAAGTAATAGGGAAATAGGTGAAATAACTACAGATGAAGGAAAAAATATTACAGACGCAAAAGATATAGCAGAAAGATTTAATCAATTTTTTTCAGAAATAGGCACATCACTTGCAAATAAAATAGATGACCCAAACTCGCCATCTCCGGTCAGAAATATTCACAAAAGCTCTTCTGCGTTACTATCAGTAAAAAA